GAGTATGTGTCAAAAGACTTCGACAAATTATGTGGAAAAGAAGGGTTTGTGCATGAGGTCGTGCTACCATACACTCTACAACAGAGTGGATCTACAGAAAGAAAGAATCGAACCATCATGAATATGGTGAGAGGTATGTTGAAAGGCAAGCATTTACCTAAAGAGTTTTAGGGTGAAGCTGTGTCGACTGCAACATACATTTTGAACAGATGTTCGGCGAAGAAGCTAGAAGGAATTACTCCAGAAGAATGTTGGTTTGGTGTAATGCCTAGCTTGAGTCATCTGAAGGTATTTTCACAAAGACATTTGCCAGATCAGTTGAGAAGAAAACTTGATGACAAGTCGAGTCAAATGATCATAGTAGGATATCATTCGACACGAGGTTACAAATTGTTCGATCCATTAAATAATCAGATTCGGATGAGCTTAAGGAATGAGATTGGACTGAAAATTTCAAGAATAATTTAGTGAGAATGTTACTTGAAGAATCATAAACTTAAGTCAAAAGAGAAGTCTGACAAGAGGAAGTTAGAGATCAACCAGGTACAAGAAGACCTTAGAGAATAAGACATATGCCTGCAAAGTTGCAAGACTGTGTGATTACATCAGATGATATGGTCAATAATGAAGGTGAGCTGGTACGTTATGCTTTCTATGTAAATGCCGAACCTGTCAATGCAACTGAAGCATTGAAATATTCGAAGTGGGTGAAAAGAAATGAATGAAGAAGTGAATTCCATCGAAGACAACAACACTTGGTCACTTGTCGAATTGCCTCAAGGCAAGAAGGTAATTGATGTCAAGTGGGTATACAAGCTGAAGTTAAATCCCAAAGGGGAAGTAACTCGACACAAGGCAAGACTTATGGAGAAAGGATTTATTTAGAAGGAAGGAATTGACTTTGATGAAGTCTTTGCACCTGTGGCTAGAATTAAAACAATCAGGTTGGTTTTTGGTCTAGAATAAATTAATAGTTGGCACATATGTCAAATGGATGTAAAATGTGCATTCCTGAATGGACCCTTAGACGAAGAAGTTTATGTTGCACAACCAATTGGGTATGTGAAGCATTGCAAAGAGAGAAAGGTGTGCAAGTTGTATAAAGCCTTGTATGGAAGAAAGCTCCAAGAGCTTGGAATGAGAAGATAGATAGTTTTCTAAGGGAGAAGGAATTTCTAAAGTGCACAACTGAACATGGAGTATATGTAAGAAGAAGCAATAGTGAATTGCTTATACTATGTCTCTATATCGATGATTTATTGATAACAGGTAGCTGCAAAAGTGAGATCGAAGACTTCAATGGTGATCTCAGCAAGGAATTTGAAATGTCAGATCTAGGTAACATTTCATATTTTCTTGGCATCGAATTCTACAAGATTGGTAGATGTTTGATGATGAATCAAAGAAGATATGTAGTAGAAATTCTCAAGAGATTTGAGATGAAAGAATGCAACTCAACATCGACACCTGTTGAACCAAGGTTGAAATTGTCGAAAGATTCAGAAGAAGATGATGTCGACTCAACCCAATATAGAAGACTTATTGGGTAATTAAGATATTGTCATACAAGGCCTGACTTAGCATACAATGCAGGTATAGTGAGTAGATTCACGCAGAATCCAAAGGTATCACACCTAGCAGCAGCGAAGAGGATATTGAGGTATCTGAAAGGAACTCTTGACTATGGAAAAGAATGCAAGTTAGTTTGATACAATGATTCAAGTTGGTGTATTGATGCTGAGGATCGAAAATCCACAGCAGGATATGTGTTCATGCTAGGTGGTGCACCAGATGCTTGAATTTTGAGAAAGGAACCATTAGTGGCTTCACCATTGTGAGAAACATAGTACATATTTGCTTCTCTTTGTGTATGACAAGTAACATGGATGATGAATTTGGTCGAAGAAATCCTAGGGAAAGATCATGGAGCAATTACCATGAAGATCGACAGTATGTCAGCTATCAATCTGGTGAAGAATCCGATAGCACATGGTCAAAGCAAGCACGTCGAAATGAGACTCCATTATCTTCGAGAGCATGTAGCAAATGAGAAGGTGAACTTAGAACACTGCAGAAATGAGAATCAGATTGCAGACATCATGACGAAGGGCGTGCAAGTCGAAGTATTCAGAAGACTAAGAGCTATGATAAATATAGATAGCTTAGACACAATGAATTAGGTGGTTTATGTTGAAAGTGTAATTCCTTTTGTTGAAGCAGGTTGTTGCTCGACACAAGGTGTGTTGAAATAACCTTAGTCTGTCAAAGTATGTCGAGTTGTGTTAGGTGTGTCGAAGTAGTTGCTACACAAATTTGATTTAGATCCGAAATAGGTATTTTGGACTTTAGTGTTTTGGGCTTTGGCTTAGAGAGCAAGCTAACCTAAAACCATAAAAAGAGGGAGTAACCCCTATTTTTGTAATCAATTGAGTATTCACAGAATTTGCAGCTGCAAGTGAATAAGAAAGATTTCTACAGTTTTTGGGCAGAGAGTTACTCTGTAGAAACCCTAAATCTCTATTCTTTTTTAATTTTCTTTCTTTTCATTATCATTGTGTGGTGATAACAATCTTGTTCATCAAGATTGATAGAAATTCATCATAGATTTTGGTAAATTTCCAACAATTTAGAGTTATAGAGATGGTAGAAATGGTTTTGTTACCACATGAAGAAGGAGGTCTCGGTATGAAGAAGAGAGAGAGAGAGTTTTTTTGATCTTTATTTTCATTTTTAAAAATCCATCTCCTTTGAAATACGAGAGGTGGTTGGCCGAAAAAGAGGGAGAGGATGAAGGTTTATTCGGCGGTTGCAGATTGGTTAATGACTCCCTCAAAACCATAACTTTCTATTTATATAAATTGATTAGAGTTTTCTAATTTCAAATGCCAACAATACCGTTGGTTTTATTTAAAATGTACAATTAAAGTAAAAATAAAAAGTTAAAATAATCATAAAAAATATTTTGTTTTTATTTTTTTAAAATGAAAAAACAGATCGGAATAAACCAAAAATGAATAATATCAGACGTGTGCTAAATCGAAAAAATAAAGGAATACATTAACATGAGATACACACAACAAAATTCAGTAAAATAGATCGGAAATGATCAAAATTGCTACTAAAAATACATGGCTAAACAAACTCTGGTTGATCAAAATGCGGCCGCAAACGGAGTCGAAAAAATAAAATGAGTACACCAAGACAACCTACGTGCACCGGATTTTCAAAAAACAGTATGCTACAAGTCAAAAGTCAAAATATTTCACCCACTAAACTCATGCGGGGTGGCAAGTTGCTTTGACCGGTTATCCTGTAGAATTGAAATTTTATTCAGGACGACCTTAGGTCAATTTCAAACAATGCACGAGGCGATGGAAATGCATGAAATGCAATTGGATCAATTTTTTATTTTAAAACGGAATAAAAGTTGACTTAGTGTTGACTTTTACTAAATTAATGCATGCATGACTGAACGTTGATGCAAATATTTTGATGAATGAATGTCTTAATGCAAAATTAGGACATGACAAGAATCGGCCGATGCCTTCGATGATCGAGCTCTTTCTCTTCGAACCGATGCATGATGCACAATTTCGATGTGCCTCAATCTATCTTGGTTATTAGCTATATTGTCTATAATTAAACTACACATAAATTTTATAGATGAAACACAATGAAATAAAGTCAAACAATGCAAGCAGAAATTTTTTTGAAATGTATTTCGGGATTCTAGAAATCAAAACATTGAAAAAATCAAATATGCATTTCTGAATTGTTCTGTATCTCAAAAGAATGAAAATGGCAGAAATGCCTTTGAATCAAAACATCTAAAAAACGCATCGATCATTTAATCAACTTATCAAATACATTACTTATCTAAATAACATAACTAAAATACCTATTACATAATTTAGTGCTCAATTTATACAAATATGTATAGAAATTAAAAAAAAATAGAGAAATAAAAAACTTATTAGATGTGAGTTTGATGTTGAATTCTTTGGTCAATATGTTGATGGTGGAAACATGTATGTGAGTTGAGTGAATTTGAGAATTTAAAAGTTGAGAGAGTTTAAAGGTTGACAGGTTTTTAGAGTTTATAGAATTAGAGTTTGAGAGTTGAAAAGTTAAGAAAGAGAAGAGATGCATCTCGTAATTTAAACAAATATATATTTTCGTATATTTTTTATATAACTTATGGTCTGGTTGAAACGAATGTGAACGAGATGCATCTAGAAAAATATGAATGAGATGCAATTCTCTAAAATAATAGTATTATAAAAAAAATGATATTAACTTTATTGGCTTTACGGGTATCTCATATTTATTTAACTAATGGCTTTAATTATTTATTATAGACAAAAATATGTGAAATGAATAAATTAATAATTAAAGGTATTATATATATATATATATATATATATATATATATATATATATATATATATATATATATATATATATATATATATATATATATATATATATATATATATATATATATATATATATAAAGTAAAAATTTATTGGTTAGTTTGACGTGTTTTGTGTAAAAAGAAATTGATGGAGTACGAAACATAGCCTTAATTAGTTGTTGTTAGCAACAAGTATTGGAAATAGTGGCGAAAATAAGATTGCCAATTATTTTGTTGTTCTTGTTTCATTACATGTGCATAATTCTTGTATCAATATCATTACGAGAGAGAGTGCAGGATAGCACGTGAATTACAGGTTTCTATCAACGCTGTTGAACAATCCCTATTTCTTCTTCCAACAAAAAATTGCACGTCATTGCTAGTTTTTAAGGTTAAACAATAGAGGTGGTAGATAAATAGAGACAACACATTTATTAAGGTAGCAATGAGCCATAGCATCAAAGCAACTTTATTTAGCACAATAGCAAATACAACATCAAAGTGATAATACAACATACTAAATATGGAAAACCTAAAACAATGCAAGTAAAACATATAAAACACAAGACACCTAAAAGAGTTGTTCTACTTGGAAATCCAAACAACATTATCCTTAGGTAGGAGGTGGCAAACCGGAACATTCCCGGGTTTAACTTTGAGGACTTGAAATGCCAAATGCTTCGGATTCCATTGTGATGTATCGGTGTGACACACAACAATAGCTTTAACTCTGATTCCATCAACACCCTCCAAAGGCACTGAGTAAGCTTTAGTTGTTTCTGTTTTGTGACAGTAAAACACGGCGTAAGGGTAATTCACTTTGTGGCACACAACAACTTTGTTCTTCTCTCCCAACTTCTTCACTCCTTGTGCTATCATTTTATATTGTTGACTCTCACTTTCTTTATTCATTTCTGTTGAAAAAGCCTCAACATTTTTCCCAAGTTTAGAAGTAACGAAATCAATCATGGACTCCAATGATGTTACACAGAGCTTTTCCTCTCCTTTGATGCCTTCCTCTTCACACTCACTCATTGTGTTCTTCACAATACGAGCACCTTTTGACCCTTTTTTGATGTTCATTTTGTTGAGTATGTAATCGACCTTGTTTGATGAAAATGGTATTGAATTAGCAACTTCTTTAGGCAAGAATTTTGCTACATTACTTGAAGAGGTCTTCATGAATTGCAAGTTTGATTTTGTTCCATCGTGCAAGTTCTTTTCAAAGAAGAAGACTAACGCTTTTGGTTTATCATGCAATTGAGTCTCACTTGAAGCATCAGGCTCAGATGCAGCATGTTTGTAATTAAATGCATTGGATGATTCTCTAGAATTTACATCAGGCTCAGATGCAGCATGTTTGTAATTAAATGCATTGGGTGATTCTCTAGAATTTACATCAGGCTCAGATGCAGCATGTTTGTAATTAAATGCATTGGGTGATTCTCTAGAATTTACATCAGGCTCAGATGCAGCATGTTTGTAATTAAATGCATTGGGTGATTCTCTAGAATTTACATCAGGCTCAGATGCAGCATGTTTGTAATTAAATGCATTGGGTGATTCTCTAGAATTTACATCAGGCTCAGATGCAGCATGTTTGTAATTAAATGCATTGAGTGATTCTCCAGAATTTACATCAGGCTCAGATGAACCATGTTTGTAATTAAATGCATTGAGTGATTCTCTAGAATTTACATCAGGCTCAGATGCAACATATTTGTAATTAAATGCATTGAGTGATTCTCCAGAATTTACATCAGGCTCAGATGCAGCATGTTTGTAATTAAATGCATTGGGTGATTCTCCAGAATTTACATCAGGCTCAGATGCAGCATGTTTGTAATTAAATGCATTGGGTGATTCTCTAGAATTTACATCAGGCTCAGATGCAGCATGTTTGTAATTAAATGCATTGAGTGATTCTCCAGAATTTACATCAGGCTCAGATGCAGCATGTTTGTAATTAAATGCATTGGGTGATTCTCTAGAATTTACATCAGGCTCAGATGCAGCATGTTTGTAATTAAATGCATTGGGTGATTCTCTAGAATTTACATCAGGCTCAGATGCAGCATGTTTGTAATTAAATGCATTGGGTGATTCTCTAGAATTTACATCAGGCTCAGATGCAGCATGTTTGTAATTAAATGCATTGGGTGATTCTCTAGAATTTACATCAGGCTCAGATGCAGCATGTTTGTAATTAAATGCATTGGGTGATTCTCTAGAATTTACATCAGGCTCAGATGCAGCATGTTTGTAATTAAATGCATTGGGTGATTCTCTAGAATTTACATCAGGCTCAGATGCAGCATGTTTGTAATTAAATGCATTGGGTGATTCTCTAGAATTTACATCAGGCTCAGATGCAGCATGTTTGTAATTAAATGCATTGGGTGATTCTCTAGAATTTACATCAGGCTCAGATGCAGCATGTTTGTAATTAAATGCATTGGGTGATTCTATAGACTTTACATCAACTTCACCTCCATCAGAGTAGTCCTTTTTGACTCCAAGATCTTCACCTATTTAAGGGAGGAATGAAATTTCAAAATTAAATAATTTTAAACATGTGGAAGTAAATTCCCATCTATATATTAAAGTGTAGAGATAATTTAATGATATTATTATATAGGCATAAAGTTTAGAGTATGAGACTGACCAGGTAGTAAGAGATTAATGATGGGTTTTGGAAATGGAGAGTTGGGCAGCAAATTAGTGATGGCTTTTGGCATTGGAGAGTTGGGGAGTACAGACTTCCAGTAAAGTTGAGGTGGTAATGTTTCAGCATTAGTCGCCACTATCGCAAGCTGCATATGAGAACATATTAACATTAGTAATCATTTAGTTACAAGCAAATCTAGAGGCATAGAATATCACCACAAGTATTAGAAGAAATGAAAGTGGTTGAGTTTATGGAGTTATAACTCACCATGAGAAAAGTAATAATGTGAAAGAAATGAAACACCATATTGTATGAATGAAGGTGGAATTCTATTATAGAAAGGATGAAGAAAAAGGTGGGCAGTGCAGCCTTTATATAATATTGTGAATGAATGACATTGGGCTGAATGACATTATCATACAAATAAAAAGGACAAACCAAATTATTAACTATCAATTAAATTTCCATGCTTAACAAGTACTAATAACATATATTTTAGTTAAAAAACCAAATTATCATACAAATAAATTAAAGAATCTACAAGTTGATTTCAAGAATACTTAAATCCGTTGAAAAAGTTTATGCTAGCGGTATTATTGAAGGTTAAGAGACAATCAACAAAAATCAGATGACTTGTGTGATTCTTCTTCAACCTATAGTTTTAATGCTTTGAATACTTTTCATACGAGGATAAGAGATAAACTAATTTTGTACTATATATTGAAGATCATAGTCTATTTTTAGAGTGATGGTCAATCATAATTCTCATTATTTCTCATTATTCTGAATGATCATCTTGACATTCAACTCATATATAATTAATTAATTAATTAATTAGTTAATTAATTAATTAATTATTTTTTAATGAAATCTAATTAGCCTTTTAACTTTATTTGATACTTATTTATTGCTATTGGATTATGCTTTGATTACTTTCAAGCCATGTTTCCTTCCCAGAGAAGTCAAGCCTTGAAGTAGGATATTATTTTCTCAGTTGGTTGCTTACTCTCTTATGGAAATTCAATCTTGGATGCGCTTTTAGTCGAGTGTTATTTATCCCTAAGTTTGTTTTGTCTGGTTTCTCCCTAGTGCAATATGTCTATTTTGTCAACATATACATGACAACGTTCATGCATTACTCATACATACATCATGCATAGTTGATTTAAGTTCTTTGTTTATTTGCATTCATTGATGCTTCTGTTGATATTTTATCCTTTTTGTAGTCTTGTTATCCTCTCTCCAATAGAGTGTCAACCTTAAGCAAAAATGTATATCCTTTCATTCTCCCCGCTGAGTTATCCCTCGTGGAAGAATTTTTCTTTAGCCTTCCTACCCAGTTCATCACCTGAATGGAATTAATCCCTATTTAAGTTTATACCTCATTAGGTGGTGTCTTGGTTGAATGTTTCACTCCAGTTTGTTCCTGGTTAGAATTTTGGTCCCTGACAACAATGTTCTTTTGATCTCTCTAGACTGTGAAATCTAGATTGAGAGTGTGCATTTATTTTACACGTGAAGACTTTATCTCCACAGTAGAAATATATTGGTATTTCCCCAGGAAGTCAAAATTCATGTCCCAACAGCGTTATTGCAATTCCTTCTTATAAACAGCAAGTGACGGTCTCTTTATTTGAGCAACTTGTACTTCCCCGTAAGTGTTTGTCCCCACAGAAGATTTTGATGTACTCCAATGGATGGTGGTCTCTTTGTTATGGGAGATAGTTTGTTATTGAGATTTGATGTACTCTAATGGATGGAGGTATCTTCGTTATGGGAGAGAGTTCGTTGTTGAGATTTGATATACTCCAATGGATGGTAGTCTCTTTGTTATGGGAGATAGTTGGTTGTCGAGATTTCATTTTACTCCAATGGATGTGGTCTCTTTGTTATGGGAGATAATTCGTTGTTGAGATTTGATGTACTCTAATGGATGGAGGTCTCTTTGTTATGGGAGATACTTCGTTGTTGAGATTTGATATACTCTAATGGATGATGGTCTCTTCATTATGGGAGATAGTTCGTTGTTGAGATTTTATTTTACTCTAATGGATGGTGGTCTCTTCATTATGAGAGATGGTTTGTTGTGGAGATTTGATGTACTCCGATGAATGGTAGTCTCTTTTTTATGGGAGCTAGTTCGTTGTTGAAGTTGAATATAATCCAATGATAGATATCGTTCATTGAAATATTCTTATAGAAGTTTATTACCTTTTCCAGGTGGAATGCTTCAGTTAAAGAAGAAGTTGAGACTCGTTCTAGGTTGAACGCCTGAACTTTGAGAAACTTGTTATTATGATATATGTTTCTACTTACATTGAGATGATGCTTATTGCTATTCTATATAATTTTCTACCTTTATCCTTCGGGTTAGTAGTTTATTATCCCCTGTGAGTCGGTATTGTTATATTTTTGCTACCTCCGCTATGAGTGGGTAGTTCACCGTTATATGATAGTCATTGTTATTCTTTTCTTTTTTCTCATTTATTCATTTGATGTTACTTTGTCTCCTACTTGGGTTTTACCCAATAGAGTTGAGTTCTCCTTTCCCCAACAGAGTTGATGTTCCTCCAAGGGAGTAGAGTTTCTTTCCCCAGTCAAGTTGGTAATTCTTTCTTAAAGATTAACTCCTTTTTGGTTTGTTGCTCGCACTGTTAAGAATTTCCACAATAAAATTATTACTTTGCGTTTTGTTTCTTTAACTGTGATGTTTGTGTGTCCAATTCATTAGTTATACCCAGAGTCGTGTTGTTCCCTAGTGATTTATGTTCCTGGTTGAACTCTCTGCTTAGTTTTCTATATTATTTATGCTTTCCCTAGTTTTGTTTTGTTTTCCCTGTGGATTTCGTCTTTTACATTCATAATCATAAACATTCCACGACATCTTAGGGCAAAAAATAGGGTTTGTTATGTATTTAAGTATCTTCAATCACATCGAGACAATGTTTTTAGTCTTCGTATCTCCGGATAGAAGACACTTAAATAAGGGAAGTTGTTATTCCCAAATTTTTGCCGCTAAGATCCTACATCAGTCCATATCATCACAATGCATCAAGATCATACATTAGGGTTGGTACTTTATTCCACCCTCTTAAATTCTCAAAAGTGACTTCAAAGGACCATAACTTGATCATTTTTTATCTTCTTGAGCTCATTCTTTTTTAACAATGAACTTAAGGTTGTCTACTACAACTTTATTTCAAAGTGAAAGGATTGAAAATGTTTGGAAAGTCCTTAAAGATTGGAAAAGATTATAGGTCATCTAGGAATTCCTCAAGAAAATTTCATCATCTTCCAAAGGCCATAAATCTTCAATTTTTATGATTTTTGAGTGATCTCAATTCCAGAATTCAATTTGATGATTCTATTCCATTTTATGTTCAAGGATCAAGAGCTAATTTTAAGGGTAAGAGTTTGTAATTTTACAAAACATTATAGGTTATTTTGAAGCCTATACATAGAAATATTTCTAAGTATGAAGATCTGTGTGTCTTTTTCCAAAATCAAATGAACATATCTCTCAACTCAAGCATCCAAATGACACATTTCTTGGCACATTGTGAAGAGTGTGATGTTGTCTTTCAAATGCATTAGGAATCATGCCATAAAGCCTCCTGAGTAGTTTGCCCCATGGATTCAAAGATGGTACCTTGAAACTGATGTTTGTAACCAAGTCAGATTACAAATTTCTTAATGTGGCTTCTAATGACCATTTTTCCGCGTGTTTTTGATTTAAACATGTTTAACAAAGTTGCTTAAGTTTGATTAAACACTGAAACACAAGTTTTGGCTGAGTTTTGATGTACATGGAGTCACACTTTTTGCAATCATCGGGTTATCTTGGTTGACACGATTTTCCCACGAATTCTTCCAATTCTCATCACCATTCACTCTCCTATAAAAAGAGGAGCACATTCCTATCATTTATCAAGCTTTAGACATCCATAATCACCCTGTCAAACTCTCATTCGATGCTTGAAATTTGAAAATCAATTTCATTATTTCAAGCTTTCTTTCTCCAAACACTTTTCAGAATAATCTTTAATC